TTTGCGATTGACCCCCTGTAGGACTGAATTGGATATTTTTTATTGAACACCAGTCAGTAACTAGTGTAATGTGTCTAGTCCTATCTTTGGTGCACACTGAACTCTATCAGTCAAGTTTGCAATGTGGCCGCCTAGGCAACAGGTGGCTCGTCATCACGGTTCACTGTGAATTGTTGGCATTCGAGGGTTGGAGGTAATCGGCAGGGAAGCCGAGGACTAGGTTTCGTAGTAGTTGGCACTTATGTTGGCCGTATCGCAAACTTGACTGGTAGAAAAGAACTAGACACATTAAACTAGTTACTGACTAATATCCAATCAAAAGTAGAAAAACATTATCCAAAAAAATATTTCAAAGATGGAAAGAATGCATAAAATTAAACTGTGTAAATACTGAGAGATTAACTTCAACGTACAAATAAATATAACAGGTTTTACAAGGGGATAAACAGTGATGAAATCATTCTAGGATGTAGGCAAGAAGGTAACATTATTGTACATTATAGAAACAATAATTATAATGCGTAATATATTTATGTAATCTAGTAATGGTTAAATATTGGACTGAAGATTTACGAGCATAGTTTTATTCTCTTTAGAAAATCGGATGAATATTTCTCATGGATAATGATGAGAATGTATGCGCTCGAGTTAAATAGTACTTCCGATCGGAGAGAAGAAGAGGAACAAAATAAAATTAGTTTTTAAAAAGGTTCATCGTAAAAATTCACTTATGATGAATGCGTTATATTTATTTATGATGACAGAGTTTAATGAAATTAAAGATTCATTTGATTGTGAAATTATGGTTTATTAGTATTAATCTACAAAAATTTCTGCAAAAGGTTTTACATTTAGTATTATTCACTTCAAATCCACTTAATAAGTTGAAATCACATATTTTTAACTGTGTGAGCAGGTGAATAAGTGGCTAATAATGCCTATCAGCATTATGTAGTCTAAATTTACAAGATTGTAATTAGTTAACTGATGTACTATTCAGAAAATTTCACTATTGTTCCCTTTGATTTCGAGTGGAACATAGGGCTTCAACAGAACACCTCGATTTTTGTCCTATTCTCTGGCTCAAAATCGTTCTCAATGGCGCAGATGCATCCACTCCTTGTGACTTATGATTCCCAATGAAACTGTTTTGTCCTTCGTTATTACTATTCCTTTGTCTCACACCTCTGTTTACTCTCTATATTATGCATTTCTCCTAATTTCTTCTCTTCCTTTGTGTGCTACATGGAGTGTGGCGACTTGAACTGCCGCACATTTGTGCAAAGTTCTATGTCGAAGACAGACAGACAGAACTCACCCCACAACTGCCCGTAAGCTCTCATCTCCTCCTCCCCAAACGATCTTCTCGATATCACCCTCATACTTCCAACTAGTCGTTTCCCATTTGGGTTCCACTTGGTGTCTGGTAAGAGATGTCATTAGACGGCCTCCTTAGAGCGTACTGGATCCATTTCCATTCTCGCTTACACATTTCTTGAACAATAGGTTTTGGGTTGGTTTGTTGATAGAGTTTCTTGTTACCAATTCTTTCTGGCCACTTGATCTTCGGTATGGAACCACTGAAGGTAGCAGCCGTTGTTTAGAATCTGTAACAGGCTGTTGAAAATCCTTTCCGAGACGTTCTGACTAATTTTCCGATCCTTATAGAAGAACTGAACGACATCACGTTTGTGTTGAAAATCCGAATCTTGTTCTATGTGCCGGCTGAGTGCAGAAGATTTCCAAACTAGTTTCAGGTTGATGAGGGTGTATCTTGCCTTTCCGATTCTGGCTGGCTTTGACATCTTCGTCTATTCCTCTAGCTGTAGTTGAAACGATGCTTCCTATAAAAAAGAAGGAGGTAACCTCTGTCAAATCTCTCCATCTGATGGTGATTGGTGCTGGTTAGTTTTGTTGCTGTTGGGTGGTTAGTTATCTTCATCACCTCCGTCTTCTCTATGTTCACTTGGAGTCCTGTTTTCGCTGCCTGCTTCTTCAGTTGATTTTTTGATTTTCGCCTGCATTTCTTGTAGTCTATGTGTTTTTATTTGTCCTGTGCTTTTCTAAAACCGTAAACTTTATCTTTTACAAAGGCACAGTAATGCACAGCAATACGAAGAATTACTTCACTTTGTCGTGGTATTAGTGTGAAAGATAAAGGCTTTATGACACAGACAAATAAAGAGTTACAGACATAAGGAAGTTTCACAGAATTCAATAATTCTAAAAAGATTTTTGACTCAAATAAAAAGGCTATAAAAGTCTATCACTTTTACACATATTACACAAAATTAAGGATAAAAGTATTTGTGGTTGATACTGACCTGCACCGGTTTACCTATTCATAGTACAATGAGCGTGAATAATAATAATAATAACATGAATATATTTAATTACGATATTTCTTTGGATAATGTGACCCGGTCCCGAAAATTACTTGGGTGAATTTCTCAAGGACAACTGGTCAAACCTGATTACTTATTAATATGAAGTGCAAATGTATATTAAGATAACCGTATGAAATAAACTTATTATTGTTAATGCAAGAAACTGAGTTACCATATAAATCTGCTGTTTGTTCATCGGTATAGACCGTCTGGCTTATATACCCACAAATATTCTAACTACTGTATATGACACAAGTGTAAATGGAAATTTTTATTGTAATTGTGACTCAGAATTCGTGGATTAATGCCTTCCAGTAATACAATAAATCATAGACATAATAGTTTAATCTTAGAATACTGTTTGTGCGAGATTTGTCTTGTATATATGTTTAGTGCAAGAAGAGCTCACGTACAGCAGAACTTGGAAATAATGAAGATGTATAGCGCAGGTGGATGATGTTAGTAAAGTTTTGTTCTTCAAACTCAACAGTTTTGCTGTAAAGCTTTCACTGTTTTTTTCGTACAACATTCTCGGCGAAGTATTTTCTGTTTTAAGGCCTTTTATGAGACTTATGTTCATTAGAATTCAGTAGATTATAATGCTTTTCCTGTTTGACTCTAGGCTAAATAGTTTAGTGTACTTCATATCGCTCTTATACAATTAATCAAAATGAAATGAAAATTGAAAGTGATCAGCACTTTCTATTAAATAACCGCGAAAATTCTTCATAACCAATGAAACCGACAAAGTTTTCATAAAGTGTATCTGTGCCAAAAATAAAAACAGCTTTTCATAAAACAAGCAACCATTTTATCAGAAAATACTACCAACCCTCCAATCATTCCTTTCTTCTTAAAGAAGCTACATTTTATCACAATTCAGCTGAAGACATAGGCACTTGCAATCAACATGTAAAGAGTACGCCTGTGAGACCAGACTAACATGCTACCTAAGTAATTCACTGTTTACAACAGCCTCTACAAAATATTATAATTTTATTAAAAATTACTGTTATCTACACATTTTGCAGGTGAAACTTCAACCATAGAAAACCACCACTTCGCTATAATAAGCTAACCCTATAACACATGCCGTTTACAGGCTGTTATCTTGATGAATTAACTAAAGATATATGACAGCGGGGAATTCCGTTATTGAGAAGTTACCAGTATAGTAGTACAATCCATCTTGAAAGAGTGGTTCCATTTGTGACACTTAGATACACAATCAACTAGCGTTCTTTTAGTCTGTTACGCTGTACTTTTTGTTAGTTTATCTTTGACGCAATTTTGTCTTTATTCTATTTGTTATCTGCTTGACAATGTAAATGCAGTGGTCAAACACAATAGATATTATTGGATATGATGGTGGAGATTTGTGGCTGAGGTGGATGATTTTGACGTGGTTGTGTGCTCTGAGCTGGTTAGTTAATTTGCGAAACTTTCATTATCCTACTAAGCAACATCTTCAGCGCATACTTCAATTCGAAATGAGCTTCAACATTTCTCCACGCCTTTATTAGTCATCTTTCCTGGGGACCCTGAACGTGGTTGGTTGCTTTTGTGTGTTTTCACACCGTCTAGGCTGCTTGCTTCGGAACTAATTGTTTCCATGACTTGAACTTTGACCCTTTGTGTGTGAGGTTTCTTTCTTATCGGTTGATATATTTTGTCTATCTCGATGTGTCTATTGATTGATGATTCACTGGAATGCCAAGCTTCTAAAAATCCTCTAGCATTCTTGTTGTTTCCTCTGTCAAATATTTGAACGTTTTCCCAGTGGAATTGATGTCCGTGGTTGTCTGTATGTAGTGACATGAGGGAGTGAATATCATGTCTTTTGACAGCTAGCCTATGTTCGTGGATACGAAGACGAAGGGGATGTCCACTTTGGCCAATTTAGTGTTTTTCGCAGTTGTTACAATTTATTTTGTAGATGATGTTGCTTTTATCTTCTTTCGTTGTTGAGTCTTTTGGTTGACACAGAGTTGAGTGGAGTGATGTGGTTGGTTTGTGTGGGACGTCAATTCCTAAAGGTTTGAAGTGTCTTGCAGTGGTTTCTGAAATGTTGTTTTTGATATATGGTAGGGCAATTTTCTTTGTTCTTTCCTTTGGGGCCTTTGATTTGATAGGTTGGCTTGAGGGTATATGTCTTTTGATGAAATTCCGTGGATATACATTCTTTTGGGAGACTCCCATGAGATATCTCTCTTCAGTTTTCCTTAGATATTATTGGTCAAGAACGTTTTCAAGGTTTTCCCTCAGTATGTCATTTATGCGTGCATCAGTGACTATTAATTTGACAATTGGTTTTTATAATTGTTAGGCTAATTTTCAGCCTGCTAATCATTTGACTGATCGTCTGCACTTAACATTGGTTAGAAAGATTTGGAGACTAAGGCATCTATGGAGAAATAATGGTGATTTACTAGTGAATACCTGACAGAACTGCCTAGAAGGTCAATGAAAGCTTCACAACTGAATCTTCCAACTTAGAGAACACAAACATCAGAATTTACCTAGCCCTCTATATATTTATAATAAATATTGAATTCTTATTTTGACAGCATCGTGATGTATGCAATTGCTTTCTTTTTTTCACGCTTTTATCAGCAACCTCTCATATTCACCGCGACGGATTATTCCAGTCAAGAGACAATAGAATAAATTCATATTCTGAACAATCATCAAACAACCAGCAACAGCAACAACAACAACTGCAATCCCAGTCTGGTGTTTCATTTACTCAAACGAATGAACCATTGAATGATTTAATCACCTCCAAAACTAATAAAAGTTTCAATAGATCAAAAGAAAAGCATATTTTGAATCAAATAAAACCATTTACTGCTGGTCAGAAAAGCTATCTTGAAAGTGACAATATCAAAAAAGACATTGATGACAACGAGAATATGAGTAACCTATACGAGAATGATAACAATGATAATAATACCTCAGATAAAAATAGAGGTGACAGTATAAAAGATCAAGGCAAATCAAGTCGACTACGAAAATGTCGTGAAAAATGTCGACTTAAATGTAAAGCATGTCTTAAACGTATAAGATTGCCTCCATGGTTGGCCAGGCCTTTATTGAAGATTTATACGCATACAAGTGGAGTACTTACATATGCATTATTTTTATTAGCAATTTATGCATGTATTATATCTGTTAAAAAAAGTGTTGCTATACCTCCAGAATGTAGACTTGTTTCTGTATTGAAACAATTAGATTCCTCAAGCATAAAAAATCATAATAATGATACAAATAATGTCTCAGGGAATGTTCGTGAAAATGCACTTGAATGTCGTAATGGTGAAGCACTCAGTGTACTTATTTTCTACGGTTTTGGTTTCCTCTGTGGAGAAATAATGGAATTACTTCATTTACCAGGATTATTAGGTACGTTTTTATATTATATCATACGTAATATGATGTTGTCTTGAATTTTATTTTGTATTTTTGTACTATAAAGATATTTTTAATCAGAATGTCTCTATTTCAGGTTGGACTAAGACTAGCACCTTAGCATTTGTCGTCATTCCATTCATTCTGGGTGGAACCTTAGGCTTCAAGCTTTGCAGTTTCAGTAGCGGTGATGTTGTTTTTAGGGAATGAGGTTGCTAGCTTCACGTCCAGCCTCTTCCAAGCTGATTATCAACTAGTAAACTTAGTGGGATGGGTTAAGAAGTGAGTTGGCCAGGATTGGACCACATGTGTGGTTGGCGAACATTTTACCTATGAGGCACCAAAATCCACACTTTGATATACATAATTTGTAATTTTAAACAGTTTTAAATTTATTTGTGCTGGTTAGCTTTACCCACAGAAGGGTCGCTTACGGTTATACATATATATGTACACTTCAGTGGAGAGCTATTTCAGAATATTAATTAAAGCGATATACTTTATACCTAAACTGATACAGTTGAAATGGATATCATGATAGCCCAGCTATTCGAAAAATGATTAGGGATTGACACGAGCTGATTAATGTACAGCAGGCAACGGAATTGTCCAGTCTTTTATCGGGTTGACTAAATTTATCGACTACACTTGCTACTTATCAGGTTTCCAACAAAAGTATGCATATTCAGCTATTAATTATTGGCAATCGAGAACTTAAACTCAATTTCACTTGTAAATATTTTTATTTCTTTAGGCCTTTAACATTCATGTCGGAGTATTGCACACCCAGGAAATAAAATGCAACCTAATAAACTAAATGAGTAGCTATAGATTTCAGACAAATTTAGCTATTTATACTGACATAAAAGCAACGGTTGATTACTTCTTTTTCGGTTTAATTTAGAAGACAGTAAACATGTAAGTCTTTGTATATCCATAAGTCAGTCTTCAGATATCCACGGCTTCAGAATCTCAACGCAGAATTCATTGAGAGTAATTAAAAGAGCATACCTTAACCATCATAGAGGTGTAAAAATTAGTTTCGACCGGAAGTTAAACTATTAATTAACCTACAGTGTACTATAACATAAGACATAGTTTATAAAGATACCCGACCTACCAAAAACACCTATTACTACCAGTGAGTCATATTTGATGGAAGTTGTCTCTTTTACCTACTTTGTCTGAGTAGCATCAGTACAAATACAGGTAGAACTTGTGAAAATGTTAAAACTCACGAAAGGCTCATCGGGAAAGCAAAACAAGCATTCATTGTCCTGAAATCAATGTGAAGATCTACAACATTTCACACAGAGAAAAAAATTCGAATTTTTAACAATGCTGTCAAGTTAATGCTTCTGTGTGTCTCAAAAACTTCACTTGCGATTCATCTAAAGCATTTCTAACAGGCTATAGACTTTCATCAACGGCTGTCTTTTCTGGCCGGATAGGATAAGCCACAAGAAATTGTGGCAACGAGCTAGTGAAGAACCTATTGCTCAGTAAATATTCAGAAGGTGATAGAGATGGATCGGCAATATGCTGATGAAACCGCTTACTCAGGCCCTCAAGTGGAACCTAAATGGGTATTGAAGAGTTGGGTATAGGTCCAAAGGTGACATGGAGGAGATCATATGATAAGGAGAAAATGAACGTTTGTGAGCAGTCATAGAACCAGTTGAAAGCAATGGCTGAAGAAAGGGTGCTTCTGAAGACCTATCTTACACTCGGAAACCATAGAATGAATAAAGTGTGTTTGAAAAGGCCACCATATCTCTTACATATTTTCCAACAAGTTCATTCATTAACCAGTTTAAATGTTTTGTATATGTGGAGGGAGAATGAAATTTGATGTACACTATTTTCACTGACTTAACTTAATTATAACTACACACTACAATTCATAAATGTCCAAACCAAGTTCACTTTTAACAGTTTGAAAAAATTTTGGCATTGGGTATATGATATTCATCGTAATAAAAGTTTTTTGTACTTCCCAGTGAATGAAAAACAAAACGATATTGTTTTTACTGACGTTTTGCTATTTAATGCTAATAGCTTTTTCAAAGTATTATTAAACCGGAATTTACTAAATCTCAGCATATATATAACAAAGAGTTGAGAGGTGAGAAAATAGACTTAGGTCAAGTTAAAAGGACATATTGAAAGTCAAAATAACAATGAAGATCACTAAACCAAATAACAAAGGTAATAGTACATCTGTTATGATATCAAAACAAAGTTTACTAACTTGATCATCATTCATCAGTCTGGGGGCATTTTTCGTTGTCAAGTTGGTAAATTGGTAAAGATAACAAAGCCAGGTGTTGATTGTTGGATTTAATAAGTGTGTAAAATTATATAAAAGAAGCGTGTGTTTACATAATGAAATTGCTCATCACATTCGTGTTGATTTTGTCACTTCATGGGGGAGGGAGGTGTTGTAACCAGGTCAAATTCTGTTTTAGTCCATCATTCATATTCCATTTGATTTGAAGTGCTTCTGACGTTCTTCGTGATTTCTGAAATTTTTCTGGATTATTTCAGTACTGTCAAAATCAGTTTTGTGGCCTGATTCTATAGCGCGTAGACTTATGGTTGATGATTTTTCAAACTTTTCTAATTCAACTGGATTTCTCGGTGGTCAAGCAGACGCTCTACAGTGTTCATTTCTCCTGATTTTGATTTCTCGAGATGTTTATCCTATGTATATCGCATCACATTCCAAGCATTTTATTTTATAGACACAATTAGAGAATCTTCAGGGATTTGGTCTCTAATATGGAAAAGGTTGTTTCGCAGTGTCTGGTGTTTTGAAAGCTTATTTTATAGACACAATTAGATTGAGAATCTTTAGAGATTCGGTGTTTTTTTCCTGAATATAGACATGCTAAAATGTCCGTTTTCCCTCCTCTTTACTAGGTAGTCCAGAAATGGTAGTTCACCGATGTCTGGTTCTGCTTCCGCAGTAAACTGGACTCTGGGAGATAGATTGTTTATTTTCTTCAAGAATGAATTGTGTAGATCACTTTTTAGCACTACAAAAGTATCATCTACATATCTTAACCATATTTTAGGTGTGAGTCAGCTTGAAAAGATGTTATCCTCAAATCTATTCATGGAAAGATCAGCGACTATCGGGGAAAATGGTGAACTATATCAACGCCATTTGTCTGTCTACATAAATTCCCTTTGAATGTAAAACAATTAATTATAGACAGAATTACAAGCTCTTAATTATTTCACTGGTGTCCAGTGGACATCTTTGTGATAGCGTTGCATCTGATTCTAGTAGACTGGAAATGATATCAAGACTTTCGGTTATAGGGATACTAGAATATTATAAGTTAATATCATAGTTTACCATAATGTCTTATTTATCAATTCCTCGGTGTTCTACTTGGGATTTGAAATCATGTGATTCTTTTACAATATTTTGAGTGCCCTTTTGCAGTGGTTGTAGTATCGAAAATAAGTATTTAGGAAGGTTGTATGTCGGTGAGTTGGTGAAATCTATTACTGGTCTTAATGGAACTGTGGGTTTATGTATCTTTGTTTGACCGTAGAATTATGAAGGTACTTAAGATTTTGGTTTTAGTTTAAACCAGAGAGAATTTCCAATTTTGGGTTTCATTTCTTGAAGAAGTCTGTTTGTATTTAGTTTCATTTTGTTGAATTCGGCAGATTTATTCTTTTCTTCAATGATTAAGTATGGTCCTTCAGATAGGTGTTCAATCGCTTTCTTTTCATAATCCGTCATGTTCATTATCACAGTGATGTTTCCCTTTTTGGCTTTCGTTATAACTATGCCTTTGTCTTTGTTCAAATTTCTTAGGGCTTCATATTCATGTTTGGTGAGATTAGATGGTATGTTTCGTTGTGTCGTTAATATATGTGATATCTTTTGACGTAGAGGTTGTGATTCTTCATTCGTGAACTATTGTAGAGCAGGTTCAATTATAGGTGCTATTTCCTGAACCAATAATGGCTTTCTAGTGATATTGATCTATTATGAATTCTGGTTTAATAATACTTTGATAAAGCTATTAGCATTAAAAAGCGAAACGTCAGTAAAAACAATATCGTTTTGTTTTTCATTCACTGGGAAAATACAGAAAACTTTTATTACCATGAGCATACTACAATTGTTCATCAGAGTAGAGTATATTAAAGTTATAATTAACGTTATTATTCTACAAAATACTTATATACCAGCCCATACTTTGCATCTTTTAACAAACAGAAATTTTCAATAATTTTTCACTTTATCGGGGTATGTATACTAGAGGGAAAAAAGAGTTAATCACAGTGTCTTTCTCTGTCTGTGATTTGTGCAAATGTTAAAAAAACGAAAGTATGCAGATTTCTTTATATTTGGATAAGAAAAGGAAATTAGAAGAGAGCATTGATGCATTCGATTGCCATCAAAAAAATATAGGCAATGAAATACCTGAAAAAAAGCTTTTAATTTATAAGCTTTTGAGTAAGACAAAATTTCGGAACAAATATCCAGTACGTGACACTCAATTCATTGCTTCCTTTTCATACAAATTTTTTTCAATGGGATAAACTATGGGTGATGTTTTTTTTGAAGGGATCGTAAAGCGTCGCTCATCAGACTTAATAAAATAAACTTACTCTCAGAGCAAGAGAGATATTTTTTGAGTGAATAATAATTTTTTCCAATAACTTTTTCTTCAACACTGCATTTATAAATTCAAATCAAAATTATATCAGAAATTGTATTGGGATACGAGTAAACAGATCAAACAATAGTCCATTGGATAAGATTGTCACTTGAATTCATAAAAAAAACAGTCGTCAAGGTCATAAGATAAAATGTGAATGACAAATAAATGACCTACTAATGTATCTACAATCGACAAGATATCATTTTCAGGAATGTGAGATAAGCATGAATACCAAAAAATATGAACACATAAATAGGTCACATTGAAAGTAAGTTCGAGGGCTCAAAATTAACAAGTAGAATA